GGCGTTACTGGCCAAAAGGAAAAGGATAGTGTAATAATTTATTCCATTTTAACCCAGCAAAATTCAAGTACATGGAAATACAAACATTACATCTGCAGTTTGTTATAATGTTTTTTTTTTTGACTGAATACGTTCTTTGCAACATCTGTAACGTTTTGTAAAGAATTCTGTAAAAAAATATTACTAATAATATGATTGGTAGTACTTTCCGTTCTTACACCAGTTAACTGTTATCATGATGCGTTCGGATCGCTGTTACGATAATGAACGACGGTGCTTTCGAACTGTGTGTAAACTAAGGTTCCCTCGTGCACCTGGGAGCAGCCCCGTCTCCAGCTCACGACGCTCATATGCGAATTGTACCGCGTGCTTTCCACACATCAGTGCACTCGGCCACTCGGCACAACTGTGTGTAAGAGGTGGAGACAGTCACGCTGGGACCCAGGAGACCACCGGAGCACAGGCCGCGCCTGCGCCCTGGGTCCGGTTCCCGTAAACAGTTTTCTATCTGTAAAGCGCTGTGCAGATTTTGCAGCGGAATTACATTAAGCTCTGTATTTAACATAATGGGTAAATCGATGCAAAATTAATTTGCTCTGCGGGCCATTTTAACTTTCTACTCGAACATTGTAGATTACTGTATTATTTTATTTACTAAATAAATAATTGTAAAAAGTTAGCTGCATTTTTCTCTCTACCTCTTTTTAATTTTCTATTTAAACAGGTTCACACGTGCAGGTACGTCAGTGGTGGCACCTGGAAGGACCTCCCCGAGCAGCCCGAACTCCAGCTACACCATGGGTAGTGCCCCACAGACCCAGGTCTTCTATGAAGTTTCTCGTCTTCGCGCTGAAGGGCAAGCATGTGTTCCGCGTGTCACCATCACGGCCAGCGCTCCCAGGCCTCTCCCAAAGGCCTCACTGGGCTCGATCCCTGAGCCACAGGACAGCAGCACGCAGCTTCGGGGACTGCACTGGCCATGTCCCGTGCAAAGAAGAGCTGCCAGGCCCCCAGCTCCCTCCGGGCCACACCCAGACCATCTGATTTCACACACACACACCCTGCCGTCCTCCACCAGCCACTCCCACACAGAGCCAGCCCTTGGTCATCTGTGTCTCAGAAGCCTCCGCATTCTCCTGTCTCTTCCTCCCCTCGGCCTCATCAGAGCAAGAAAACAGAGCACAGGCAGGGAACAGAGGTGGGGACCGGTGGCTGCCAAGCCTCCAGGTGCTCCAGCTTGGCCAGCCCTGCCCTGAGGGTGCCATTCCATACGTGGCAAGCATACAATGCCAACTGTGCTACAGAGTGCGGGGGAAGAGACCCCACATGGGCAGGGTGTGAGTAGTCGACTTTCCCATCCCTGGCACAAAATATCTGACGTCCGTAACTTCAAAGAGTAGAGGCTGAGTTTGGCTCCCAGTTCAGGGGATTCAGTCCATGGCTGGCCAGCCCGAAGGCAGAAGCTGCACTGTGGGAGCTGAGGCTGGAGAGAGCAGCTCAGCGCAGGCAGATGGGAAGCAGAGAGAGATGGAGGAGCCAGGGACAAGGACACACCCTTCCAGGTCACAGCTGAGGGATGGCCTCTTCCTACCGGGCCCCGCCTCCTACAGCACCCAGGATCCAGTCACCTTCAGGACACATGAGCATCTGGGGCACTTTGGATCTAAACCCGTTCAGCAAGTGTGTGAGCTGGGCTTTAGGGAGGAGCGGGGCACCGCTGCATGTTAGGAACCCAAGGTTACTCTGGCGGGAGTAATCTCACACAGAGTACAAACACCAGCTTGGTGCTGGTGCATTTTATTTGGCATTGATAATAATCACAGTTCAAACTGTGCAACAGGGCATTTTTGTAGGAAAAAATAGTGTGGCATTGGCAGCGTCACAGGGCCCACTCACTGTGACAGTGACCATAACTGGGCTTTTCTGATGTGCCCGCACCGGTGACCACCCTCCACACATAGGGACTCATTTTCTCCCTTCCAGAGCTACCCGGGGAGGTAGACGTCACGAGTCCACGTGCGGATGAAGAAAGAACCCGAGCGGCGATTGACTGCCCGAGGCCACACAGCAAAGGAAGCAGAGGCCAGACCCAAACCCAGCCCTGCTGGCTCCTGAGCTCTCACTGTGGTTCCCACCCTAGCCACCCCAGCCACATCTGCCGCTGAGGCCGGGGACACGGCAATGGGGCCTCAGTGGGAGGGTGATGGATCAGGCTTACAAAGTTCGACAAAAAATAGAGTGATGTTTAAAATTTTAAACAAATGATTACAGCCAAACATACATTGCCGTGAATCCCCTTCAGAATCCTCCCCCTCGTCCGAAATGTGCTCGTCCCATCGTCCTCACCACTTGCCGCAGCAGCTCTGGACGCCCTCGGTCCTGAGTGTCCAGCCGAGCTGTCACGGCTGCCTATGTGCTGCACTGGTTCAAACCGTTTCCCTCGCGTGGGGGAAGAGTCAGGAGTCACACAGTGCCAGCTCCGGTGCATGAGGTGGACGCGGACACAGCGTCGTGTTTTATGAGCCGGTCCTTCCCCCCCGATGGCCCTCGGCAGCAGTGTTCACTGCATTTTCATCACGCCTCCTGAGGACTCAGGAAAGAGAACTCCAGAGTGGCTTCCGGAAGTGGCAAGAACCACATCGGTCCTTCCCCCCCGATGGCCCTCGGCAGCAGTGTTCACTGCATTTTCATCACGCCTCCTGAGGACTCAGGAAAGAGAACTCCAGAGTGGCTTCCGGAAGTGGCAAGAACCACAGGATAAGTGCATTCGAAGCACAGGTGAATTTTTTGAGGGGAGCAATAGCAATGAGCTTGTACTGTCCTAATTTTTGAGATTTAAACACACACCGTATTTTTGGATCGACCCTTGTGTGTTAAAGAGGGCTAACTCATCACGAAAGGCTTCCCAGCCTGATCAGGACATTTGTGTCTCCTTAGCCTGCCCTGCTTCTTTTTCGCTCAGCTCAACCACGTGACGCTATGCCCGACACGTGACAGACGTGCTGCCCTTCCGAACTCTGTGGCCTCCTTTGCTCTGGGTCCCTGATGCCCTGGCACAGTTCCTAGCGTGCCCCTCCCCATGCTGGCCCCGTGGGCACCCAATCTGCTTCCGCCCAGGGCAGGGGCCCGTGACACCTGAATGGGAATAAGCCCGCAGCCACACACAGAGCCAGACCAGGTGCCTGCGACCTTCTCGAAAAAAGGCCAGCACCCCCACCTTATTCATCCAATACATATTCAGAGGCCTCTGAAGGGCCAGGCGCTGGGCAGACACAGGGACAAAACGTGTCAGCCTCTGCCACCAAGACGCACAAACCCCTTTAGACTGGAAATCTACAACCACAGGAGCCTCCCCCGGAGCTGTCCACCCTAGGGGGCCCACGCTGAAGGACTCGGAACAGCTGAAGACCCTGGCATCAGGTGCCGAGCTGCACCTCCGTCTCGCCGTTCACTGCTTCCTGCTCCCCCGTGTCCCCAAACTCCAGCCCAGGGTCTGTGAGAGCAGGCGTCGGAGGTTTCTTTCCTGCACGGAGCTCCAGGGTGAGATGTGGGCCCCCTGTGCCCTGGTCACGTCATGGTCAGAGCACCAGCTCTGAGGTCCCCCTCTGGGTTGGGGTCCTAGCTGTGCCACTTCGAACTGTGTGGCCCAGGACACCCCTCCATCCTCTCTGCTCCAGCCCCACGCGAGCCCCCCAGGCCCCGTGAGCACGCACCCACCGCTTCTCGGCAGACGCTCCCTTTGCACACGGTGCCTTTCGCCTGCTCGAGCTCAGAATGAACACCAGGTCTGACTGACTGTCCCGGGAGGACGGAAAAGCTGCGAAGGAGGTCCTGAGGCTGCGCCCGTAGACAAGGATTTCAGCACGACTGAGCCCGCCAGTCAGAACAGGGGAGCTCGGGGCCATCACAGCAGCACCCCGTCTTGAATCCTCCATCCTGTGCCTACACCTTAACCAGCGCTCCGTATGCTCAAGCTCACTGAGCATCCCAACAACCCGAGAGGCGCTTTGTGTTTTAGATTAAAAACTAATGTAATCGTGGAAACCGGAGAGAAGCCATGTGGATAAGAGATGGACAAAGTCATAGAATATTGAAATGAAATGAGTACTATCAGCTTCCCCTAAGCAATGGCTGCTTTTTTTTTTTTCTTTTGCACCTGTAATGCCCCCAGCACACACAGCTGTCTCCCTGACGTTTACTCCTATGATGGCGGCAGCTGCTGTTGTCCCACTGTACAGGTATGGGGAGCTACAAGGAGACAGAGTGTGAAATATCACACTGCAGTTGCTGGGGTCTGGACCCGGGTCTGCTAGACCTCAAAGCTCATAAGTTAGATAAGTTTTATCGGAGCCAGCACAGTCCTGAGGGACCCATCCTGCAGTAAGTACAAATAGAAAATCTGGGGGAGATACAGTAAAACATTTGTTTCAAACCATCCAGAGCTACCAAGCCGTAAGCAGGAAAGATGCCACAGGAAGAGAGCAAGGCATCAGGGCACATTCCCCGCCCCGGGAGAGCGGGGCTTCGGCGAGAGGGGAGAGGACCCTGAGTGCCCTCGGGCTCCCGTGCCCCAGCAGCAGAGGGAGCGAGCGTTGGGCACAGCATCTCAGGGCTGGGACCCATCTTTGCCCAGCCCTATTGTGAGAAGGTGACTTCCGGGCCAGCCTGTCACTGCAAAAGTGGCCCTGCATGGAGTGACCGCCAGGCAGGGTCCCAAGTCAGTCCTCTGGGCTCTCCTACGTGATGTCCAGTGCTTGAGAGAAAACAACAAGACACACAGCACACGACTTGGCCAAAACCAAAACACTAAAAATAAAAAGCAGAAAGAAGCCAGGAATAAGGAACCCGGGGGCTCACTGGGTAGTGGTCAGGTTCCATCCCTTGACTTTCTTGGCGACCTGACACTTGGGTAACTGGATGAACTATACACTTAGACTTTGCACGCATGCTGTCCTTTCAATTAAAAAATGGCACAACATTAGTTGGCAGAGTCCTCTCACCTTGAGAGACGCCGGCTGGGCTGTCTGTGCTGGCCACTCAGCCTTGGGGATAGGCCAGGACCCCGGGCGCCATGGGCTCTGGAGGACAAGGTCCATTCTGGAATCTGGCAGATATTCCTGAGCTAGAAGAGAATATTCCCAATCAATCCTCTACCCAGGAATCTATTTTTACTGTCAGAGTCCCGAACCTGGGAGCAAGCCTTTTCTTTCTGTTGCTGACCCCAGCCACGCTCAGCTCTCCGTGACCACGGCAGGTCCCTCTCTGTGCCTCGGAACTCTGTGAGGGCCCCATCCCCAGTGACCCTGTCACGGTCTCGGGCATCCTGGAGCACTGCCTGCCTGCCTTGACTTCCCCTGATGGCTGCAGGTCCCTGCAGTGCACGGGCCGCCACCTCTGCTCCTACACATCCTGTGTCCCCACAGTCTCTTTCTGGGCTGGGGAACACAGTGGTCCCCACAGAGCTTTCCTGAGCGTGGGAGTGTTTACTGGGGATGAATTCCAGGACAGGGGACAGGACGATGGGGCTGCGGCACACGGGTCCTTCTGTGCCTCCCAGGCGGGCCCAGGAGCTGAGGAAGGGAGAACCGGTTCCGTCCCCTCCCCTGCCTGCCTGTCAGGAACTGCAGGGGGTGGCTCTCCTCTGGCCACCGTGCGACACTCACCTCCTCCTGCGGCAGCATCCTCGAAGCCCGCGTCCAGGGGGCTGGCCTGGAAGGAAGGGCACCGGGTTAGGGTGGACTGCAGCCAGAGGGTGGGGCTGGGCCAGTGGGCTCTGCCTGTGTGGGAGGCTCCGGCCTGGCCCCGCACTGCCGGCCACCACCTTGGAAGAGGCTGGATTCAGATTTGGCTTTGTCCTCGGGGCATGCCGGGAACAAAACAATTCCATTCCTCTACTCAAATCAATTTCCAGTGTGAGTCTGGAATAAATGTGTTTTAGAAGTTTCTGTACTGCAGACACGGACCAACCCACACACAAATTTGATAATAAAAACTAAATAAATAAAATGAAAGGATGCGGTGCTCCGGCACCTCTGAGCCTCTGATTCATTGCCTTGGGATTTGGGGGTGCAATCTCGAGCCCCTCTGTGCACTCTGTGGGTTACCCACCAGCCCCTCAAAAGCAGAACCAGGGCCCAAAGCCATTAAACTGACTTTTAGGCAGGGTCGGGGGCCTGCGGTGCCAGCCTCTGTCCCCTCACCCGGGGCTGGGCCCAGCATCCTGGGCTGCATCTGCAGACCCAGGGCTCCACCCTCCAAAAGCAATGAGGGGACCGGAGCAGGGCACGGGTGTGGCTCCTCCTCCCTGCTCCCCTGCTGTGCCCCATGTGCACTTCTGGAAAATACCCTACACCTCAAACAAGGTGGGAGCTAACCGGAAAACAACTATCTGATCCTCAGCGGTCTCGGCTTGGGCCCTGGGCTTTGGGACACAGAGCCCCAAGAAGTAACTGCCCCGCAATCCGAGCTGTGATGATCCTACTTCAGGTGACAGTCAGGTCTCTTCCAAGACCTCGCAGCATTACTCCGTGGTGGGTGGGTGGAGGCAGCCTTCCAGCGGCCGGGCAGCCCCAGGGCAGGGAGCACCGGGGTGAAAAACCCCACAGGGAGGGTCCTGTACTCCCCAGTCCAGCTCTGGGGCCAGGACAGCCCCTATCTGTCCCACACCCCCAAAGCCTGTCAGTGCCTCTCCAGCTGCTGGCCGCCCTCTGTCAGCCAGTGCCAAGGCAGCCACTGGGAGCACCATCTGTGCTCCCTGTGGCGACATTTACTGCCCCTTGGGGAGCTCTGGACCCGCTCTGCTGTCTGCCAGCTACCAGGGGGAGGAGCAACCTTCACCCTCGTTGTGGGCCTGATTCAGAACCCCCAGCACCCCAGCCATCTCCCCAAAGCTGCCCCCACACCCTAGGTCACTGAGGCACCTGGTGCAAAGTCCCTGCAGGTGGCCAGTGGGTGCAAGACCCGGGGTGCAGAACCCCTTCCTACCGCGCCTCCTCCTGGAACCCTGCCCTGCAGCTGGCTCTAGGCTCTCTCAGTTTCTCAAATGCAACACCCTTTTATCACTGCATACCTGGCCACACTCCACACACTTCCAACAGGGGCAGCCTTCCAGGGTGCTGGAAGGCACCAGACCTGACTGCTTGCCCACTTTCCCCAGCTCAGTGCCCTCAGCGAGACACAGGCTGCATGGACCTGTACCCACCGAGCTCAGAGTCCTCATCTGGAAAAGGGGATCAGAGCAGTGCTGGCCTCCGAGGGGCTCCCACAGTTCACTCACAGCCGGCACGCAGAACAGCAGTACAGGCACAGTCCCCCCGGCCCCGTCTTAAGGCCCAGGGCTAAGGACGTGGCCCCAGGAGCCCCCGGAGAAGGCACCTCTGCCAGGCAGGTGGGAGCACCTCCGTTGCACATATGAGAACTCCGAGCTCTGCAAATCAGGGTCTCACCCGGGACACGCGCATACAAGGCGAACCCCTGTGGGCCCCCTCATGACCCTGCTACAAGGAGCGACCCTCACCTCTGCATTGGTCCCCCTTCCACCCACATCCCGCACCAGGCCTGGCTGGGGGCAGCGGTGCTCAGTGGACACTGACAGGAAGTGGCAGAGCCAGGGTTTTGCGTCTTCCGGACCACAGAAATGAGGTGCCCTGGGAGAGCTGAGCAGACTAAAGTCACCGTCGGGCCATGGTGAGCGCAGAGCTCAGGCAGAACCGGGCCTGGAAGTGGAGACGCTGCCAGTGCGTGGGGCACGCGGGCATCAGTGGGGCGGGTGGCACAGACTTGGAGTCTGCAGCCCTGAAGTCAAGCTCTGGCTCTGACCAAGGGGCCAAGCGGTGCCAGGCAGACCTCATGGCCCCAAGGTCCCCCCTGCAGGGACTCAGTCTGGAGTGGCCTGGCACGGCCCCGCCCAGGGGCTGTCCGGCGACACTCCTGACCTGGCCCATTCCGCTCCCGTCAGCCCACAGGAGGGGCAGCCTCAGTCACAAGGTTGATTATCTCACTGCTCAGCAAACAGTCCCTGCAGCCAGGCACTGGCGACACACAGAGGGCTGTGGAGCCGCCCAGGCTCCAGCAAAGGGGACAGTCCCCCCGCGCGTGCCATGCGCAATGGTGCTCGGGGCAGCTGCCTGGCCAGGCCCACGGATCTGTGCCTGGAATGATGGATAGGAGGCTGCCGGGAAGCCACACCGGCTGCCAGGCAAGGGTAGAAGTTGGAGGCACGTGTGACACCGTCAGCTCCATAGTTAAATACAAGACGTCCCCCTGAAAGACTCACGTGCTAAAGCCCAATCCCCATGTAGCACTGTGCAGAGGTGGGACCAAGAGAAGGGACTGGGTCACGGGGCGCTCATCTCATCAGGGGACCACTGGAGACATCACGGCTGAATCTCTCTCCGCTGTGAGTCTCCTTCTCCTTCCCAGCTGCCACGAGCTGAGAAGCTCCCTCTGCCACACCGTTCCTCTAGGACGTTTCTGCCTTGCCACCGCTGCCCAGAAACAGCAGCGCCAAGTAACCACGGACTGTACCCTCCGGAAGACAACAGCCAACCTTCCCCCTCAGCACCAATATCTTCAGACATCTGGTCCCAGGACAGAAAGCTGGTGCACACGTGATACTTGTGGGACACTGAATTGTAGTCACGGTGTCTTCCCTGCACGTGTCCTGAGCCCGGGGAAGGACACAGGCACTGTCCTCACACCGGCCTGGGGCACAGGTGGCACCCGGAGCAGGTGGGGTCAGCCAACAGCAGGCCAGGCGGTTGGAAAGGGGCAGATGTGTCCCGGCTCCCCGGCAGTGAGACAGGGCTGTCTGCGGGACCCACCTCAGCGACCCCAGGGGTCAGGAAGGTGGCTGCGTACTCCATCAGCGCCACGTCCTGGACCATGCCACATGCCAGCTCTGAGAGCAGCGGGCTGGCCAGGCTGTGTCTGTGCAGCTCCCGCAGCAGGCGCATGATCAGGCGGTTCCTTGTGAGGCACTTCTGGACCAGGGACGCCAGCTTGGCCTGCGAAGGGGAGACAGAGGGCACAGAGGTCCTGGGGTGCCCGGCGGATGTGGGTTCACTCTGTCCTCTGCCTTGGCCGGACCTCAGCCGGGTGCAGCTGCAGTCACTTCCTCCCCCCGCCTCCCAGAAACCCCCCCCAGCTCCCACTGCCCTCTCCGAGGGTCTGGGCTAGGGGCAGGGACGGGAGCGTGGGCGGCGCCGTCGTGGACTCTGCTGCTGGCCGGCTGTGCACCAGGCTCTGGCCCACTGGTTTGTCTGTCCCATCGGGCTGTGGAGGGCACCAGGAGCTGTGACAAGCCAGGCCCCAGGGAGCCCTGAGATTTTATCTTTCGCTCCTTGTTGGTAAAGCACAGGGGCCATCGAGGTCCCCACACAAACCGGGGAGCGTCCCACAAGCCTCCCCAGGCTCAGTGTCTCCTACGAGCTTGGGATGCAGCTTCCTGGGGGCGTTAAGAGACTGCGGGGCTCCAAGCTCTGATTTAAGGCTTCTGGTGTGAGGCCCCCCACAGGCACCTGCACACCTGGGTGCCACTGGGTTGGACCCGCCCTGCCCACCACCCAGCGAGCAGAGAGGCGGGCAGCCTGGCAGCCCCGCCCCAGATCCGGGCCGATGAATCTTGTCTGCTGGGCAACATCCATGTCCAGGCAGCAAGGGATGCGCGAGCCCCTCAGTTCCATCCCTAACGTCGGTGCCAGGCAGGTGGGGCTGCTTAGTCTAAGGGAACGCGCAGCAGGGCGTCTCATCTGTGTGGGATGGCGTTCACGGCACAGGCAGACAGGCAGGCAGGGACACGCTTGAGTGGTGCTCAACCTCAGTGCTGCAGCACCAAAACCACCAAGAGCAGTTTCCGGAACCACGGCCCTCCAGAGTCTTTGGTCCCGTGTGAATGTCAGTTTCCAGGTCACCCTTGAGACACTTTTTTTTCTTTTTAAATATGGTCCGGAGCCCTGAACTGAAGGTCTTTGCACTGAGCTCCATCCCCAGCCCTTTTTTTCTTTTATTTATTTATTTATTATTTGAGACAGGGCCTCGCTAAGTCACTAAGTTCTTCAGGCTATGCTTTAAATTGCAATCCTCCTGCCTCAGCCTCCCAGAGTGCTGGGATGACAGGCATGGGCCTTTATCTGGCTCCAGGCTGGGAGAAAACAGACGAGAAGAGAACACCGAAAGGCCTCACTCTGGTGACCATCCCGTCAGAATCTCCAGAGGACAGAGACAGGTGGCCTCCACGGCAGGAAAGACGGAGGCCCCTGCTCTGCCCCGGGGACGCCTTACCTTCAGGGGACTCAGCGCTAGGCGTGCTTCCCGCAGCTCTTTCTGAAGCTCTTCAAGCTGAAACAGAAGTAGGGTGAGCTGCTCGTCGGGGCCTGGGTGGCTCTCCCCTCCCCGCCCCCCGCTCAGGACTCAGCAGTTTGTTTTTTTGTTGTTATAAAATAAATTTTAATTTTAGCTTTTGTTTGTACTGAACTATACTTCTAGGCTCACTTTTTCTTTCTTTCTTTTTCTTTCCTTCTCCCTTCCTCTCTCTCTCTCTCTCCCTCTCTGATACTGGAGATTGAACCCAGGACCTTCACCCTGAGCTACATCCCCAGCCTTTCCGCTTGTTTTTTATTTTGAGACAGGGCCTGGCTAAGTCTCTAGACTGCCGTGGTTAGGCTTGGAATTGTGACCCGCCTGCTTCAGCCACCCAGTGTGTATTTTTAATTTTGTGACAGCATCTTGCTAAACTGCCCCGGCTGGGCATGGACTTGCAATTCTCCTGCCTCAGCCTCCTAGGTAGCTAAGATTATAAGCGGCACCACTGCCCCTGTGTTAATTTTAGTTCTCATATAGGAGGTGCCTATGGTGCTGGTCAGAATCTGCTCTTTAAATTTACTTCCTTGGAGCTTTTGAGAAAACTGTACCACACTAAATGAAGTTTAAAAAAAAAAAACACTCAGAATCCAGCACAGAACTTTGTTTTCTTTCTCTTTAACGCCCCCTTTCCTGTTGTCGGCTGGCTGTCCGCAAACCTATTTTTGCAGGGGTTACAGTCATGCTGTGCAGCCAGGCTGATGGCTGTTTCCATCCACGACAAGGCGCAGGTCCCAGGCTCAGTGCAGGGGAAAATGGAAACAGCTCAGTGCAGGGGAACAGGGGAAAGTGGGTGCAGCCACCGCAGAGGTGCCCACTTCTGTGGCCTTGGGGTCCTTGGCAGGAGTAACAGAGCTGAGAGGAGGCCACTCCCCAGCGGGCACTCAGACCTTGTGATCCGCCCTGGCCTTCTTTCTGGCTCCCTCCTCCACGGCCCCAGGGCCTTTGCATGTACACAGGGTTGGCAGATGCAAGGCTCCAAGCACACACAGAGCTGAGAGCTACCGGAAGCGTCTAGGTCTTTTCTTCTGCCCTCCAATCCACTCCATGTGGTTTCCACATTGGCTGATTCCGTCTCCTCAGGGATCTGCAGTGACATCTTTAAGCCGGCAGCTGTCACCTCACATGGTGTCACCCCAGCCCATCTGGGCCACTGCTGCTCTGAGGGAAGCTGGAGGTAAGGCAAGCGTGGCCCACCATGGGACACATCTGTTGGGCCTGCAGGGAGACTGAGGAGCAGGGCGTGGACCAGGTCTGGTTCCCCAACTGAACCTCCAACTTTTAAAAAACCCTGAGCTCCATGGGCTGCAGTCTCCCCAGGGCAGTGCTGAAGCCTCTTCCTCAGGAAGGACCCAACCTCATCCCCAGGTAGAGCTGCTGAGATCAGGAGCGAAACACGGCTCGCCGGGCTTGGCCACTCGTGTGAGCTCAGGCAGGTTCCTGGTCACCCACTGCCTCAGTTTCCTCCTCTGGAAAGTACGGGGTGCAGCCCACAGTGAGGCCAATGATATGCAGGGCACAGAGCCAGGCCTGGTGCTCCCTCAATGCCAGCTACTGAGCCCGGTGTGGTGGCACATGCCTATCATTCCAGCACTCTGGGAGGCTGAGGCAGGAGGATGCAAGTTTGAGCCCAGCCTGGGTAACTTAGAAACTTAGTGAGGCCTTGTCTCAAAGTTAAAAAAAGAAAGAAAAAGAAAAAAACAATTTTTTAAAAGGCTGGCAAGGCAGCTCAGTGAGAAGACCTTGAGTATAATCCCCAGCTGGGGGGCAAAAGCCACCTACTACTGCCACAGAGGAAGACTGAGGATGGGCACAGACTCCTCGATTTGTCTCCTGAGAGAGGGGCAGTGCCGGGTCTGCTGCCCGGACCCTGGGTGGCCTGCGGCGCCTGGTACAAGCAGAAGTGATAATGGTTGTCTTTCCGGTCCAGCCCCGGGAGGCCCAGAAGCTTCCCTCTGCTCTCTCTTCTGGGAAGGCCCAGGGGAGGCCTGGGCCTGGCACCCAGAGTGGGGGGCAGGCGGTTGAGCGCCACCCTCCAGCCACCTGCAGAAGGGCCAACTTGGACCTCCGGCCCAGCCCAGTGTCCAGCTGGTGACCCACAGATGCCTGACCAGTGCCATCCGAATGCCGGGCCCACAAGACGTAATACAGGGGGTACCCATGAGCTCCTGTCACCTGCTGTCCTGCTCCGTCATCAGAAAGAAAAAAACATGCTGCACAAGTCCCTGTTCCTCCCACCAACCTTTTCTGACCTCTACTGAGGTTTTAGCCCCACACACCCATATGCATCAGAATGAAATTCTGTAAAAAGTGTGTTGCACCCTGTTTCATAGTTTAATAGAAAATTTCAACATTAGGCATGGTGGTGCACGCCTATTCCAGCACTAGGGAGGCTGAGGCAGGAGGATCACAGGGAGTTCAAGGACAGCCTGGGCTACTGAGCGAGACCCTGCCTCAATAAACAAAACAATACAACACTTTTGGTGATATTTCCGTATCACATACAATCTGACCTCATCCACTTAAAAACCTTGCGTATTCTTTGATGGTGTGACTGAAACCTAACTGATTTAACCCCTGTCTGTGGGGATGTACATGCTTCTCTTTGTTTTAGGAGCACGGCTTCTGTGGACTGTTTTCGCGTCAGGAGTCACAGCCCGATTCCGCCGGGAGCCGACTCAGATTGGGAAGGCGCTCGGTGACGCTCGCAGCCTCCGCGTTCAGCCAGGGAGCGGCGCATCTGTGTCGCTGTGGGCTGTGCACGGCCTCTGCCATCACAGAGCGAATGCGGACGCCGCGGGGAGGGCGTCTAACTGGTCACTGCTGACCGCTTGCTTGGTGGATTCTTGGTTTTCCATACAAAAGATGAAATGTGATCCCTATGCACCATTAAAATTAGTTATTTGAAAACCGAGAGTTGTGGGTTTGCACGCAGTTGTCAGAAGGGGTCCAGAGGGGTCCCTTGTGCCCAGTGTCCGACCTCCTCGGGGGAAAACATCCTGCAGGACAGCGTCGCACCCAGCGGGTTCCCTCTCAGCAGGGTTTGGGTCAGCCGCGTCGACCCCCAGGGCTCCTCCTGCTGCCTTTCTAACCACACTTGGGACCTTTCCTGCAGAGGAAGGTCCTGTGCCTTTCCTTAGAAAACCCTACATGTGTATTTTTAAAACTTTTCCCTGACAGATTGAGGTGGTGGAGAGATGACTGGCCCTTTCCTTCTTGGTACTGTTCTGTACTTTAATTCTAATACACGGTCCCTTGTGCAGGGTCCGGACCCGAGCAGACTGTTTCCTGCCCAGGACCTCCCGTGGAGGGGACCCCTCTCTGGAGAGAAGGAAACGGGGACTCCTCACCTGGGGGAGGAAGCGCCCCACCTACCTTGGCCCCGAGCTCGCTCTGGATGTGCACAGCCTGGTCCCGCGCGGCCCGCAGCTCCCGGTTTGCCCAGCTCTGGTCCCTCAGCTGGCACTGCAGAATCTGCACCTGGTGACAGAGCCGCCGGACACACAGCTGAGGGTCCTCCTCTGCCACCTCGGCCTCGGGGTCCTGGGAATGCCCACAGCACAGGTCAGAGGAAATGCGGGTTAGCACCCACACAACTTGCATTAACCAACAGCCAGCACCTGTTTTTCTTCTTCATCTTTTTTGTCTGCTTATGTTTTCCTCACAGGAAAAACAATTTAGAAAATAAGTGGGCAGCCAGGCATGGTAGCACACACCTATAATCCCAACACTCAGGAGGCTGAGGCAGGAGGATTGCCATGAGTTAAGGCCAGGCTGGGCTACACAGTGAGTTCAAGGCCAGCCTGGAGCACCACACAAAACCTTGTCTTAAAAAAAACAAAAGAGGGGACAGGGCCAGGGATTTAGCTCAGTGGTGCCACCACCTGCCTTGCAAGCGCAAGGTCCCGAGTTCAATCCCCAGTACCAAAAAAAAAACCCCAAAAAACAAAGAAAGAGGGGACAAAAATCACCCCAAACACTACCATCCAGCACAGCTGTGTTACTATCCCTGTGTTTTCCACACAGCCTGTGCACTGTACCCCTGTGTGCACACACGGGTGTGGGGCTCAGCCTGGGTATCAGACGGAGTCCTGAGGGGTTGGGAAATCCCAGAATAATAACCTAGAATGTTACTCTCAAAAATATGCAAAACAAAACCGATGAAAACAGGGCCTGGCTGAATCTCTGTCCGTCACCATTACACAGAAAAAGCATAATGGATGAAATTCCACATCCAAGTGGAGTCATGAGACGCTCGTTCCGTGCCAGCGACCTATCTTCAGGTAAATCAGAAAATGCTGAGTTTTCCACAGGGAATGTGGGCAATTTTGTCTTGGGTTCGCACAGAATCGCCTGTCCCTCTTGGAGGGAGGTGAGGGCGTTCAAGCCCAGGGAGCTGCAGGGACAGGGCCTGCACAGCAGGGACTCTACTGCCCCCTAGCGGCTCTGCAGTCTAAACCCTCCTTTTCAGTCACGTAGAGACACAGGCACACACAGGAGCTCTCATTTTTCCTTATAAAATTTAATATGCAATGCCTATCTTTTGCTTTCTCCCTTAACACCACAGCAATAGCACTTTCCCACGTGAACTGACAGACACCCTTGTCCACAATTCCTGAGCTCACCTCTGCACTCTTTCCTAAGACACAGCAAGGGAATTCACAGTCCGTGGGCATCATCACTCCGCTGTCGCTTCCCCCTACAAAGGCGGTGTCGGGAAGGAGGGTCCACCTGCTGCCCTAAAAGTTCCCTTTAGGAAGGAATAGGGAGCCCAGCAACTCACAAATACCTTTCCCCGGCTTGGAGCCTTCCACCTGTATTCAAAGCAGGCACTGGACATGTTAGGGCACATAAGGCTCATGTCTCCCACCACTCCTGAACCGCAGGGGTGGGTCAGAGGAGGACCCCAGGCTCCCGTATTTGGGGAAAGCACAGAAGGGACGGTAGGGGTGAGAGCAGCAGCCACGTGACTCCACACTTCTGCTTCTCCTGCTCACAGGGGCTCTGGCAGCTGAGTGCGAGGCAGTCTCTGTAATTACTCGAAATTCACACTGCGTGGGCCTGAGACACAGGCTGGGCCCTGTCAGGAACAGATGGGTGCTCCTAATGCCTCCATGCGATCCCGCTCCAACTCTTCAAAACAACTTGGCCTTTCCGGGAGTTTGGTGCTGCGTTGCCGCCTCCCTCCTCTGGCAGTGACTTGGACAAGACTTTGCCCCGGGGGTCCTAAGAAAGCGCCCACACAGTCACCTGGTGAGAGCTGCAATGGGTGGGGCCACCTGCCTGTCACCTGGGGCTGTCCACACAGCAGACCCTGGGAGCACACTCCAGCCATGCTCCTGCTTGGGACAATGTCATACTGCTGCTGGGGAGGGGGGAAGAGCGACACAGACACAGGCGACTACACAGCAAGGAGGCCAGAAGGCCTCAGGAGGCTCTAGGAAGCCCTGAGCCACAGGCCTCATCCACGCCACTGTGGCAAGTGCCATGGTCCCCGCCTGGGGCCACTGTGTAGCACTTGCCCACTGTCATGGTGCAAAAGGCCCACCACGACCAACTGCAAACCAAAAAAAGACACCAGTGGGCCCATAGTTGGGAAGAGATGCGGGTGAATCAACCCCGACACCCCTCGCCCTGAGCCCCAACATGAGACCTGAGGGTGGGGAGCAGGTCCCAGGAGAAGGGGGTGCAAAAAGGGGCAGGGAATGTGCAAAGAACCGGCGCTGAGGCTCAGACTGTGGGGGACCAGGTGGGGGACCGGGTGCGGACGCAGTAGCTGAAGTTCCCAGGGCCCTGGGGCTGGGTCCCTAGGGAGCATGAGCATCTGGATTCTACACCCAGTGCAGCAGGGAGCCATGGGAGCGTTTCAGGCCCAGGAGTCATGTGATTCAGCTGTGATTAGTGAGCTTTCTTCACCGCTGCTTCTACCATCCCCAAGCCCCATGGATTTCTTTTCCTGCTGCTGATTCCAAATTCCTCAGCTCCAGGACACCTCTTGGCGATAAGACTCAACTTCCTCCGCTCACTGCTCCTTCAATCCACCTGGCCCCTTCTCCTTAAAGCAGACGGTGATCTTTTTATAGCAAGTGTCGCATTTCCTGCTCAAAATCATGCCCTACTCAGAAAGGATCAGAAGGAGGGTCACAGAGCCTCCTGCGACCTATGCCACCACAGTGTCTCCAACTTCATCTCCTACTAACTGCTCCTGCCCATTGTCCCAGTGACACCAGCCACCTTCTGTCTTCCAGCAAGTCCAGCTCTTTCCTGCTTCAAAGCCTGGCCACTTGCCCTGAAATGCTCTTCTTCGCTGTCACTTTCTAGCCTTGAAATTCTCAGCTCCACCTTCTCAGAGTTCCTGCTAGGCCAGAAGAACTGGTATTGGAAAACCCTGAACTCTGGGGAGACTACATAAACATAATTCTCTGCAGGCACTGTAAGGCAACCAAGGCAGGAGTACAGTCCTTGAGAAAAAGGAAGCACGACAAGGCAAACTCTTAAAATTCCCTGGATTTCTATGAAATAAACCGTAGTTCAGGAAAGTCCCATGGAGAATGGTGCTGCAGCTGCGTGGAGGGGAGAGATGGAGTCCAGGGATGCTAAGACCACTGCAGTTTGTAGGCCCGAGAGCAGAGAGCTGCAGAGGAATCATCAAATGCTGTCCTACAGCTGTCCCTTGGGTCTTCGGCAGAATCGTAAGCTGTGTGGCATGATGTAAAACTCTACTCTTGGCACAGGAAAGCAGCTGGAAGCCAATCACCAGAGACCATACACATCACATGGCTCTGAGAAGGTGGCATCAGCCTGACTGAACCAAGAGGAAGTGACCTCGGTGAATATGCTGGTAATTCTGTCAATATCACTAAAAGGCCATGCGTAGGGGTGAGGGCCATACTGTGGAAGCCACGGCAACTCCAGACAGGTACACGCATAAGATGATCTGCTAATCGTTCAACCACCTGCCAATCACTAGACTATCCACCAGACTAAAACCGTGCAGCATTCTCTGGAAGAGAGTGGCAACCAGGGATCTCCACAACATACATAAGTCCAAGGTAAAAAAGTCTTTTAATTCCTGGACCTGTGATGAAGCAAGAAAAGGTGACTGTCATCAAAAAATTAAAACAGCCAATAGAAGAAGACAAGAAGATGATCCAGACATCAGTAATAACAGACAAGGCCTGCAAAAAACCACAATGTACACATTTATATATATGAAAGGATGAGTCAACTGGATGAGAGCATGAAGTATTTCAACAAAGAACTGAAATTTCTTTCTCAAAAAAAGGAATTAAACGAGTATTCTAGGCTCACAAAATACAAACTAAGATTAGGAACTCATTGCATGTGGGAGCCCGCTGGCATTTGACATTGGAAAAGTAACTTCTACCATTGAGGCATTGACACAATCTATGACTCTATTTGGCTTTTCTGAGATGAGGGTCTCAGCTATGCAGATGAGATTGACCTGGAGCTCTCTGTGTAATCCAGGCTGGGTTTATGGGATTACGGGTGTCGACCTGGAGCTCACTGTAATCCAGACTAGTTTTATGGGATTATGGGCGTGCACCACCACGCCCGGCAAACAATACCACTGGACTCGTCAGGTTGAGTGGGGCCTTCGCCTTTACATCAGCAGCCGTGATCCGGGTCTCACCTTTTCCATCAGGCTTTTGAAAGAACCACCTCAGTTCAAACCCATTGCCATTGGCCCCAATCCCCTTCTTTAAGAATGTTGCTTTTTTAAAGATAAACTGGGCCTGGTGGATGATAGCATTAGAAGGGTTGAGGAAAGCCTCGAACAAAGGCAGAAGCAACAGGAAAAGGACGAATCTTGGTATCAAAATTGGTTTTCCCCTTGCCCCGCTTGCCCCTGGAGATTGTTAAATTAAAGATTGCATAGGGTTAATTGTTGATGTACGCCTTCCCACTTACCCCTCCCCACATTTGGTAAAATACTGATTGCTGTATGCTGATAAATGCTTTGTCCCTTTATGGTTAAATGCTTGAGTGACTCATGTGATTGGTAGAAGATTTGTTTGAACTGTCCAATAAGCTTGCTGAACCTTCCCCCTGGGATAACAGTATATAATCGTTTTGCTGAGCCAATAAAGAGCCTTTGATCAGAAATCAGACTTGGGCGGTGTGCTCTAACTTCTTAAAGATTTCCTTCACAGACATTCAAGATCGGATCGGCCTCTGATGACCCACGAATAAGAGGCGGCTCTCACCTCCTATTCCCCGCTGGACGGGGTCCCCCCAGAGAGCCGCAATTGCATGGATTTCACAAAAGACAGACACAGTGGAAGACATGATCAGAAAATAAAAGAAAGAGCAGGAGAAAATCCAAACAGAAATAAAGAGGAAAAAGTACAATGCAGTTTTCAAAAGATGTGGCATTCAGTCCAAAACTCTGGATTTCTTGGAGGAAAGACAGCAAAATGAGGCAGGATAAAATATTTGAAGAAATAACAACCAAGAGTTTTTCAAGTCTAATAAAAGACATAATGATACAACTTCAAGCAGCTCAGAAAAACCAAGCAGGATAAATACAAATAAAACCATCCCAAAGGCAAATCATGTTCAAGCTACCACCTACAGAGAAAAGGGAAATCTTAAATGAAGTAAAAAACAAAGCAATACATTTCTTTCAGGGGAAAAGATACAACTGATTTCTGAACCAAAACTATGTGACGGAGAAAGCAATGGAACAAGATCTTTCAGTGCCCAAAGAAGGGGGAAAACCTGCCTATCCAAATTCTGAAACCAGGGGGAACAACCTTTAAATGGGATGATGGACAATTGTTTTCAGAAAAATAAACATGAAATAGCCAATCACTAGCAAATTTCACTATAAGAAACACCAATGATCTAAGGCAGAAAGAAAAAGAATCCACAGCCCAAAAGTGTGTGAAGATGTGGGTAAAAAGAACTTAATAATTACATAAAACTATAGTAAAAAACTACGTTTGACCAATGCCAAAAACAAAGACAGGAAGGGAGGAAGAATAAAAGAAAAGAGAATTGATCAGACAACTAGAAAAAACTGCAAATAAATAACATTATAATATGGGAATATAAAATAATATAACTAAAAGAAATACAAATGCACACTCAGAGTTGGAGATTTTTACAACACATCTTGGTAAATGACAACACAGCAGTGAAAGTGTGAAGATCTGGTTTAGCCCAGTTAGCCAGCTTGTTCTAATACTTGCCGATCACAGAATAGTGAGATGTGGATTATTTATCAAAATAAACCATAGCTTGGTCAATTAAAAAAACAACAAAAAAAACCTCACCCTTTCAAAAACTAAAACAATATGGCCTATGTTTTCTGACAACAGTGAGGCCAAACTAGAACCCAATAGCAAAAATAATACCATTCCCCCAGAGGCTTGGAAATTAAACATACTTCTAAATAACCCAGAGGTCAAAGAAGAAACCACAAAGACAGGAAATGAGAAACTCTGGCAGTGTGAACTGAACGGATATCATCTCACGTTGTGCAGAGTGCTTGGAGAGACAATTACAGCTTTAAACACACAGACTGCAAGCAAAGAAGTTGGAAACCAATGATCTCAGCTTTCAACACAAGAAGAAAACCCAAAAAGAAGGGGGAAGAAAGAAAACAACGATGCTATAAAAAGAAGCCCAATGACATGAAATCCGGACATGTAAAATGAATAGAAGCAAAAGCCAATTCTTATCAAAGTGTTGATAAAGTTACCACAGGAGGTGAAGGGGGAGGAGGGACCAACAGGCAGACGGAGGGAGAGAGAGGCCCAGAGAATGCAGGAGAGGGCACAGGGCTCATACTGACTGTCCCAGGCACCATCACCATGGGAGTCCCAGACCTGGGCATTGTCACAGGGAGGAAAGTGACTCAGAGATTTGATCACATGCTGGCCACTGCTGGCCACCGCAACCCTTAGGACCAGTGTGAATATTGATGACCCGGGACTCTTAGAAAACTCCCAGATGAGGAAATCCTGGGCCTCATCCTAAAGCACAAGAGCCCACGCAGGCTCCTCTGGACCCACCTGGAGGCAGGTGTGATTCTTACCTGACAGCTTGGAAGGGAGAGAGGCAGCCAGACCACAGGGGTGAAGCCAGCTCCACCCCTCATAGCTGTGTGCCCCCAGGCACCTCCTTCGCCTCCCTGTGCCCGTGTCTTCTCACGTGGTATAAGGGGATGCCGAGGGCACCTCCCTTCGGGAACACCCGGGGCTGTGGAGTGGACCCTGGGACAGAGAGAGCACTACTGGAAGTAGCCAGTCGGCTTACCTGGGGGCCACTGCGGGGGGACCTCGGAGCCCATCCCTGGGCAAAGGAACACCACAGTCTTTCCTCCTCTTTTTCCAGGCGCGCTTCTTTTCCTGCCGCTCCAGCGCTGCTCCGCTGCAGGGCGCCGGGTCCCTCTGCCCTGCTCCCGAGTGGCGGCTGAGTGGGGGAATGGGCGCCGCACCCGGAATCCCGTGGGTCTAAAGAGGGGCCCGTCTGCCCTCTGCGCACACCCACTTCCTCCTCCGAGAGTGGCCCCCCGACTCCCAGGATCAGGTGCCCCGAGGCTCCAGGCACCCGACCCTCCCTGTCTGCGGTGTGCACCTTGTCCCCTGTCCTTGTGCGCTTTCCCTGGGGGCGCTGCTCCCCGCACAGCAAGAGCCCCGTATCGCTGCTCGTCCACAAGGCGACTTCCCGCTCCAGCCCTCGGACGCTGCGTAGGAGATGCTGGTTCTCCCTCTTCAAGGCCCGCAGCATGTCGTCTATGGCCAGCTCCGCATCCCTGATCAGCTCCCTGTACCTGGCCCCAAGCCGCGACAGCAGCGCCTTGAGCTCCCTGGTTTCCAGGGGGACACAGCCTGTCACACCTTGGGACTTCGTCTTGCGCTCAGACACGGCTCCCTGCAGCTGTCCGCGGTCCCCCTTCAGCTTCTCGTTCTCCTCTTCCAGCTGCCGTAACTCTCACGGCTCCCGCAGCATGTCGTCTATGGCCAGCTCCGCATCCCTGATCAGCTCCCTGTACCTGGCCCCAAGCCGCGACAGCAGCGCCTTGAGCTCCCTGGTTTCCAGGGGGACACAGCCTGTCACACCTTGGGACTTCGTCTTGCGCTCAGACACGGCTCCCTGCAGCTGTCCGCGGTCCCCCTTCAGCTTCTCGTTCTCCTCTTCCAGCTGCATGATCTTGCCGTAACTCTCACGGTTCACCTTGGGACTTCGTCTTGCGCTCAGACACGGCTCCCTGCAGCTGTCCGCGGTCCCCCTTCAGCTTCTCGTTCTCCTCTTCCAGCTGCCGTAACTCTCACGGCTGCAGGCCTCCAGGTCGGAGATGGCCTGCAGACACGGGCCCAGCTCGCCCCGCAGGCGCGCCAGAGCTGCCACCAGCTCCCGGTTCACCTGCTCCAGCCTGCGCAGCTCAGCGGCATCTCCCGCCCTCGCCTTTTCAAGGTCACACGCTCTACGACAGCATCTGTCCTGGTGGCCGGGAGGTGTAGCATTGTCACTTGAGGCCGGCCTGCTCTCCTTCAGTGCAGAAAGGAGCTGATGGAAGCTGTCCCTCGCCCTCTCCAGCGCCCACCACGGCTCCGCAGGGCCCGGACTGGCTGTGTTGCAACCGGGCATCATCCCTGGAACGGCCCTGCTGGTGCAGGGGGCCACGGTCTCTCGCAGTGTGACACCTTCACTGCCCGCCTTGAGCTCTGATTCCACAGCACCGCCGCTGCACCGCCGGGAAGCAAAGCTCCAATTCTCTCCCCACGAAGCAGGCGTCCTCTGCCAGAGCCGCACACCCTGCACCAGCAGGTCCGAGGGAGAGGTGCCAAGGTGCAGGGCATGCAGCTGCTGGAAGCAAGCCTCCACCTCCCTCTCAAACTGGTCTATCAGGAGAGCACACCTGTCTCGTCCCTTGCCCCAAGGAGAACCAGCGGCTTCACATCTGGTGGTGGGCACAGCCGGCCCGGGAGGCTGCGTCTCACTGTGCTCTCGGGCACAGAAAAGCATTTCCTGGCCTGCAAGTGCCTGAGGGCCGGGCTGCCCTGGGACACGGCTGTGGCCCAGCCTGGACACCATCTCCTCCTCTGGTCCCGTCCGTGCCCTTTCCTCCTGCAGAGGCAGGGTGCTCCCAAAGTGCAGCCTCCGGTACTCCTGGTCCTGCAGCATCCTCTGGGGGGCTCTGCCCTTCCCCGTAGTGAGCTGGCCGTCACCAAGCTGTGACGCTCTAGTCCCCTGGGCCCTGGAGCCTGTGGCCGGGGGCGACACCCCTTCTTCTGATGACAGCCCTTCCGGGAAGCCCCAGCCACTTCCCTCCACCCTTGCGATCCTGCTCAAGGACTGGGGACCCTCCAGGGCCGCTCCCTGCAGAAGAGGCACAGGGCGCTCCTGCCGGGACCACAGGCAGCAGGCGGTGGCCAGGGTCTCTGGAGCCCCAGTGTCATAGCACCCGCCCTCAGGGGCTTGAGCCGCATTCGCACTTAGCTTGGAAGTCCCCCTCGCCGCCTCACTCTCTGCTGTCCCCGCTGGGACCCCTCCTCCCTCTTTCCAGGCTTCTGGGCGAGCCCTGGACCCCATCCTCAGAGACAGGTGGTTGTACGTCCGTGAGGACTCGTGGCAGAGGGAGGCATGGTGGCCCTTAGCCGGGTGACAGTCCCCACCGGGGTGTGCTGTGGGCCTGGCGCCCAGCTCTTCCTGGGCTCGGAGCCCTTCTGCGGGCACCTTCTGGAGCAGCAGTCGCCTCAGGGACTCCGCATCTCTGGCCAGCCCCCAGAGAGGGAGCGTGGATGCCTGCCTGGGGACGCGGTGCTCCTGGGCAGCCTGGAGACTCTCTGAAATCTGGGCCAGGTCCATGGGGAGGAGCAAACCCTCTGCGAACTGCCCTGGGGGGTGGCCCCACACCAGGAGGAGCATCTGTCCATCTGGGCTGCGCTCCACCAGAGAGAGCTGCGGGCAGAAAGGGGGGACCGGGTATGACACACCCACTGCCACTGACCACCCCAGTCTCATCCCAGTGTTTCCTGTGTGTCCTCACCCAGCGGCATTGTGTCCAGCTCTCCCCGACAGGCTAAGATGCAGCTGCCCCAGGACCTTTGCGTCAGCTCTCTCTGCACAGCACCTCCCCATGGTGCCCGCCCTGCCTCCTTCCCCACTCAGCTCAGATGACACTTCTTCCCTCAGGCCCTGGTCACTGCAGCCTGTCTGCCATTCACCCCTCATGTCCCGGCTCCTCCCTTCTCTCTGCCTCCTGTCTGCCACGGGTCGATGGCTCCTTCACCCACACCCTTCTGCCATGATGCCCCTGCCTCGGGCCGGGCCAACCACAGTCCGAACCCTCCAAAACCCTGGGGCAAGGTGTCCGCTCCTCCTCCAACTCACTGATGCTAGGGGCTGTGTCCCAGCGACGGGACAGCCAGTGAATACATTCGGCACATTCAGCTGTGGCCCCACCTAAGACCCATCAGGACCACAGAACCGCACTGGACCGGGGCCCCAGCACCAGCCAGCTCAGCTCTGTTCCTTTAGCAAGGGGAAACAGACATGGAGGAAGGATGTGACCCGGGCCAGGGAAGAGGAGACTGGTACCCCGGGGAGACCCAGGGTGGCATGAGGCCCCCATACCACATGGCAGCCCAGTCCTCACACGGACAGCCCGTCCTGCCTCCTCCTCCCTAGCCAAGTCCCCAGATACCACCTTCCAGCCCGCAAATCTCCCAAGCATTTCTAGAAGTTTCTTCCAAACCCAGAGCTCCCCCTCAGCCAGCCTCCTGCAGCAGCCACACCGCGTGAGCACAGCAGGACCAGCGGGGCCCTCGCAGCGGCCTCTCTCCTCACCTGTTCACAGCCAGGCCCTGCCCCGTCTCCCGGGAACTTGCGTGTGCTCTCCAGGGCTGGCACCATGACTCGGGGGCCCTGTCCACCTCCAGGGCAGCTGCCGGTGCAGGGTGGGCCTGGGAACAACATGACACAGAGATGCTATGGGTTAGGTCCAAAGCCCCCTAAAGCTCGTGTGCTCATGAAGGCAACTGGACCACAGAGGGCTCTGACTTCACCAGCACAGTCATCCATCAAAGGTCTCACCGTCAGATGGCGCTACTGGGAGGGCTGGAAACAGGAAGTAGGGCCTGCGTGGATGGAGTGGCTCCGGGGCCAGGACCTTGGGAATGTATCAGGCCCCTGGCCCCTTTTCCTCTAGCTCTTTCCCTCCCTCTCTCTTCTCAACCATGTTTCAGCCTCACCACAGGCCGGAAAGCAATGGAGCAGCTGACCATGGACTGAAGCCTCTGAAACCATGAGGAAGAATAACCCTCTCCTCCCCGCTGCTCATCTCAGGCATTTCATCACAGGAACGAGGAGCTGACTCACACACGAGGTAAGAGATTCTCTCCTGGGACCTTCACCAGGGGCCTCGCCAACTGTGAGGATGAGGCTGCCCCTCAGGACCTTGAGCCCACAGTGACTCCCAAGGCAGCCCGATGGTCCCCACCCCTGCCATATGGGGAAACTGAGGCTCAGAGAGGGGCCCGGTCATCAGCCAACAGGTGGGTCTCCACAGCACTCCACAGGGACAGAGTCCAGGGGCAGGAAGATGGGGAACAAAAGCAGGCTGCTCAGATCAGACCAGGGGTGACTGTAGTTCTGCACCCCAGAAATGGGCTGATCTGCCAGTGGTGGGCGGTGCTGCAACATGGCAGACGATGCAGAATGAGCTGCAGGCGCAGCTACGCTTGGAGGGGCACTTGCAGCAGGCGGCAGGGAGCCGGGCCCACTCTGTTATGAGAGATAATGGTGATGTGGGAGTGGTGGCACATGCTTGTGATCCCAGCCAGCACTCTGGGAGGCTGAGGCAGGAGGATGGCAAGTGTGAGCCCAGCCTGAGCAACTCAGCGACTTGCTGAGATCCTGTGTCAGAATAAAAATTGTAAAAAGGGCTGAGGATGTAGGTCAGGGCAAAGGACCTGGCCTGAAACACTGGAAAAAAGAGTTCACAGGACAGACTCGTCAGAGCCAAGGGCTTCTGATACCTAGCAGTTCCCAGGTGTGCCAGGTGCAAGTCTCCCTCCCTGAGGCATCACTGAGGTTGTCACACAGATACCCTCAGTATGGGGGGGGTCCCCTAGCTGCACCCCAAAGCTATGTGTAGCCAAGTCTCAGTAGAAGACCACGTGGGTGCAGCACTCTCTGATCCGGCTATGAACCACCAAACAAGCAACACCAGCTCCCTCGGCCTCAGTTTCCCCTCTCTGGAGAGGGTGAGACTGTGCCCTCCCCCTGCACCACCAGAACTCGTGAGAAATGAGCTGACGCAGGGCTGGGGGCCCTGCAGTTCCCTGTCCTCCCCGCACTGTGGCCCCCACAAACCTGCTGAGGCCCCTGGCCCCGGGGCCTCCTCCTGCTGGTCACAGCCCCTGCCAGGGTCCTGCTGCCCGGATGGAGGTGGACACTGGCCCTGCATACAGCCCAGGGTGGCCTGGAGGGAGACAGAGGTTAAGAGAGGTCTAGTGTCTATGCCACACTGTCCCAAAGGTCCCTCCCCAGCACGGCGGGGCACAAAGGGCACACAGGTCCTTGGGCACCGGCTCACTCAGTAGGTGACAGGCGGCACCCTTGTCACTGAGTCTGTCTGACCAGCCGAGGTGCTGAGCTCTGGGCAGGGCTGTGGCGCCCAGCCCCTCCTTCCTGTGCAGCACCCCGTCCCTGGTTCCCCGGTGTCTGCACAGTGGCTGGCTTCTGAGCAACCGTCCTGTCCTTCCACTGTCAACAAGCCCACAGCAGGGACCAGGCAGCGCCCTCTCCCCTGGCTGAGTGCAGACCACTTCTGGGGTGGGACAAGGGACTGGCAGGAAACAGGGGCTCAGGGTGCCACCCTCAGGTGGCTGCTGGCTCACACCCACCTTCCCAGGACCTCAGCTCCCGTGGGTGGGGACGGACCCCGGCCACTTCCCACCTGGCACCAGGATCCAGCCCTTCCCTCACTCCCCTCCAGCACCGAGCCGAACTCAAACTGAAATAGAACCAGAGAGGCTGCACCCCTGGTTCTGAGCTGCCTCCGCCAACCACCCAGACCGTGCTCCCACAAGAGACTTCGGATCGAGGGTGAGGCTTGGGCCATGTGGAGCCGAGGGGCCCTGGACAGGACCGGGGCTCTGAACCCCGGCTCTTTGCCTGCAGACGAGGCTGGGTGACAGGCCTCCCCGGAGCACACTTGTCACAACACGGTGCTAAGGGGACCCAAGGAAAGCGCTCGGTGCTCACAGAAACACTGGCGGGTCCTCAATGAAACTCCCTGGCCTTCCTCAACCGTCTTTCAAGTTCCACCCCATTACCCTCCCTCTGGGCTCTCTTTATCTTGGTGACGATTTCTGCCCTCGAATCAGGGACCCCCAATACTGGCCACAGCATAGAACCACCGAGAATCTCTGGCAAATTTCAAGGCAGGACCCTCAGCCCATGCCAACCAGAGGGCTTGGGTATCGGCTCGCGTCCCAGCGGCACCTGCGTGCTGTCCCTGCCTCTGGCTCCCTTGTGGGGGTCTTACTCAGTGGGAACCAAAGGCACCTGTCCACGCTGTATCCTTCATCCCGGAGAGAGGGAGAAGAGCCGCAGATGAAGGAGAGAGGAGAGGCAGGCAGGGAAGAGTGAATGAGAGAGGAGAGGAGAGAAAACAGGGTGGAGAAAGGAAGAGGCAGAAACGAGAACCAAACAAGGAGAGAGAAGCTGGCAGAAAAAGGAAGGAGTGGACAGGTGGGAGAAGGAAAGGCCAGGATGCGGTGTCAAAGGCCACCTGCCACATCTCAGGAAGGGACACCTGGTCACCATTGCACTGGACAGGCGGGAGAGGAAAGGCTGGGACGCGGGGTCAAAGACCACCTGCCACATCTCAGGAAGGGACACCTGGTCACCATTGCACTGGACAGGCGGGAGAGGAAAGGCTGGGACGCGGGGTCAAAGACCACCTGCCACATCTCAGGAAGGGACACCTGGTCACCATTGCACTGGACAGGCGGGAGAGGAAAGGCTGGGACGCGGGGTCAAAGACCACCTGCCACATCTCAGGAAGGGACACCTGGTCACCATTGCACTGGACAGGCGGGAGAGGAAAGGCTGGGACGCGGGGTCAAAGACCACCTGCCACATCTCAGGAAGGGACACCTGGTCACCATTGCACTGGACAGGCGGGAGAGGAAAGGCTGGGACGCGGGGTCAAAGACCACCTGCCACATCTCAGGAAGGGACACCTGGTCACCATTGCACTGGACAGGCGGGAGAGGAAAGGCTGGGACGCGGGGTCAAAGACCACCTGCCACATCTCAGGAAGGGACACCTGGTCACCATTGCACTGGACAGGCGGGAGAGGAAAGGCTGGGACGCGGGGTCAAAGACCACCTGCCACATCTCAGGAAGGGACACCTGGTCACCATTGCACTGGACAGGCGGGAGAGGAAAGGCTGGGACGCGGGGTCAAAGACCACCTGCCACATCTCAGGAAGGGACACCTGGTCACCATTGCACTGGACAGGCGGGAGAGGAAAGGCTGGGACGCGGGGTCAAAGACCACCTGCCACATCTCAGGAAGGGACACCTGGTCACCATCGCACTGGACAGGTGGGAGAGGAAAGGCCGGGACGCGGGGTCAAAGGCCACCTGCCACATCTCAGGAAGGGACACCTGGTCACCATCGCACTGGACAGGTGGGAGAGGAAAGGCCGGGACGCGGGGTCAGAGGCCCCCTGCCACATCTCAGGAAGGGACACCTGGTCATCGCACTGGACAGGTGGGAGAGGAAAGGCCGGGACGCGGGGTCAGAGGCCCCCTGCCACATCTCAGGAAGGGACACCTGGTCATCGCACTGGACAGGTGGGAGAGGAAAGGCCGGGACGCGGGGTCAGAGGCCCCCTGCCACATCTCAGGAAGGGACACCTGGTCATCGCACTGGACAGGTGGGAGAGGAAAGGCCGGGACGCGGGGTCAGAGGCCCCCTGCCACATCTCAGGAAGGGACACCTGGTCATCGCACTGGACAGGTGGGAGAGGAAAGGCCGGGACGCGGGGTCAGAGGCCCCCTGCCACATCTCAGGAAGGGACACCTGGTCATCGCACTGGACAGGTGGGAGAGGAAAGGCTGGGACGCGGGGTCAAAGGCCACCTGCCACATCTCAGGAAGGGACACCTGGTCACCATTGCACTGGACAGGTGGGAGAGGAAAGGCTGGGACGCAGGGTCAAAGGCCACCTGCCACATCTCAGGAAGGGACACCTGGTCACCATTGCACTGGACAGGTGGGAGAGGAAAGGCTGGGACGCAGGGTCAAAGGCCACCTGCCACATCTCAGGAAGGGACACCTGGTCATCGCACTGGTCCTGGGTCCTGCTTAGATTTTGTCACAGCAAGCACCAGCTATGCGGTGGGGCCCGTCCCGGAGCTGCAGACACAGTCAGGGACAGTGCATACTCGTTCCTGTGCCTCCTGGATGTCACTGTGCTGAGGGCCCCACTGTGAGCTCTCTTCACTCGCCAACGAGGAAATCAGTGCTCAGAGAGCGGCAGCGACCTTGCCTGGCCACACAGCCAGTCACAGGGGCAAGGCCGGAGCTGGCCTCTCTGAACCTGACCCCAGACTCCTCCCTCCCCGCACTGCAGTAACTCAGCCCTGTCACCCCCTGCTGCTTCCTGACACTAGAGGAGACAAACATGACAAACATCTCCCCCTTTGTCCAGCTGGAGCCTGGATGTGCATTTTCTGAAAGCAAAGCCAAGGTAGCAAGTGAGCAATGTGAGGGCGGCCCAGCAGATGCTCCCGGGCGCTCCCTCCACACGGGCACCTCCCTGCACGGCGTCCCCTGCACATACTCTACCTGCACAAAGTGAACGTGTCCTCCGGGGGTGCGCCTTTTGTTTACTATTTCAGCAGGACCATTTCTCACCTGGTCCTTCTGCGGCGCAGCTCTGTGACTGCTGAGATTCCTTGCCCTGCAGGGGACCCGAACACTGAGATGCCCAAGGCAGGCCGGAGAGCGAACCCCACCACCGGCTGTTTACAGGATCGAGCCCGGCCGAAGCCTACGTGCCGGGGTCAGAGTCACTTGCACCCAGGTTCCGCTCCCACAACTGAAGCCTTCAGACTAGGAGGACAGTGTTCCAATTACAGCCCTGGAGCTGCCTGTTCCGCCCCTAAAACGACACTGCTTCGTCCTGTCCTTTACGAGCCTTGCTCACATTCATCTCCATAGAAACCGCACATAGGGCCTTCACCCTCACAGCTTCGTCCTGTCCTTTACGAGCCTTGCTCACATTCATCTCCATAGAAACCGCACATAGGTCGCCTTCACCCCAACTTATCGCCGATAAAAGTCAGCGCCTGGGACCGGCCAGCGCCTTGGTCGGTTGCACCGGCATCGCTCGTCCTGGCCCCGCTTTCTCCCCTAGTTCTGCCTCTCAGTGCATCTTTTCCTCAGGACTGCGTCACACACTGGGCAGGTGGGGGCTGGAACCTGACTGCAGGGGGCTCCAGCACCCTCGAGCCGCCAAGCGGGCTCCCTCAGGGACAGCTGGGTGGTTTCCAGACTGTGCCCACCACGGGCCGCGCTGGGGTGGGCGTACAGCTGCCTGCATGCAGTCACGGGAGTCACACGTTAGGCCAGGCTCTGTTAGGGGTCTACACTCAGTGATGCCCCCCCAAAGACGTGCCCTGTACAACTCCAACGGTTCAGCCCCCCTTCACAGCAGGGGAGCCAAATATACCAGAAAAAATGGAATCCCAAGAAATCTTTTTTGAAAATATTCTTTCTCCCCATGACTGCAATTAAAAATAATTTTGATTAAAAGAAGAGGAAATGTCCAATCCCACCTCATTTTACCAGTACAAGTTTCCACCCCAAGAACCTCAAAGATGAGCAAAACAGACCCAAAGCGTGCAAGAGGTGGGGGGAATGGCAAAGATGACAAAGTTCACTCTGACTTTATGTGCGCACGGTGGCTTTGACTTCGCACGTTTCACAGTAAGGTCAAGGTCTCTCCAAGCCCCTGCTCCCTAGCGCGTCCCCTCAAAATGAAGCCACTCCTGCAGCTGCCACCAGGGGTCGCGCTACACAGGCTGTCATGTCGGGGAGGACCTGTTGCGCCTGGCGACGCCCCTGCTGCCCTCTAGCGGCCGAATCGCCTCTGTCCACACCTGAACCAGTGTCCTGTAACGCTTACTCTGCTCTCTCTCTAATTCACGCCCTGGCAGTGCCAGGTGGGGCTAAGTCCCGATGGACATAAACCTCCTTGGTGGTGACTGCGTGGTGGTGGTGACACACTGCCCTTGTGTCCTGATTTCTCACTACACTGGCTTCCCTGCACCACTGTTTTGAGATGTTCACTGGCTGGAAGTGAGCCAGGACCCCAGGCCGTCCCAGAGTCACTTTCCCACTGAATCACCTGCTCACCAGGACGTGTGGGCAGATTCCAAGATCATCTGGATGCATGGCTCAGAGACTGTGGGGTGGGCGGGCAGCTGCACAGTGAGGATTAAGGCCGCCAAAGTGGGTCACACCATGGAGGGGCTCGAAAGTCAGGGAGGTCTCCCGGAGCAGGCAGCGCTCCCGCTGCACAGAGCCACAGCCAGGCCTGATGGAGTGGCCGTGACTGGCAGAGGCAGGGGAGGCCTTCGGATCTAGGGAGGCTTCAGGGTGCAGGGCACGGCACACTCTCAGAGCAGAGCAGAGGACAGGAGCCGCTGAGCTCAAGAAGAAGGCCTAGGCCAGAACACCAGGGGCCTTGAGTGCCATGGCTGGGAAAGGAGGGGACACGGGGGACACAGGGTTGTAAAAGAGACCCCCGATGGTCACTGGTGACCAGGGCCAGCTGCTGAAGACTTGAGTGGCTCCTCTCACAACGCACTGACAGGTTCAGGATGTCACGGAGGACCTGTGCCGCTGTGGGGCTCCGCCCAGAAGCTAGGCCCACAGAGGCTGTGCAGCTCCACCCAGGCGGGGCCTGGCACCTGGCCTGGCAGCTTCCTCACCAGCAGCTGCGGCTGGGGATGTGGCTCTGTCACATCACCAGAGCGCAGGTGGCTGGTGGCCCTCTGCTGCCCACCACGCTGCAAGGCTGGGCTGTCACCACCCTCCGAGAGAAGGACGGAGCAGACTGGGTCCAGTCCCATGCCAACACTAGGCCCTTCAAGGGTGACCTGCGGGTCCCTAGCCCTTTCTGCTGTCCCTGACTTCACCAGGCCGTTTCATCACTCTGAGCCTACAGGGCCTTGTCTTTGTCCCTACCCTGAGTTCCAGCCAGAGCTGAGTGTGGGCACCAAATGGACCCCAGTAATACAGACTGAGCGGCATCACTGGAGAGCAGGGCTCAGTCACGCCATGCTGTGGCCTCAGTGTCTATGTCCTCACATCCAATTTTTGTTCAACCTAAACCCACAGTGGGAGAGCCTCAGGATGTGGGGTTTCTGGGCAGTGATCTGGTCATGGGCATGGAGCTCCCCAATAAGATGAGTTCCCTTATGCCCTCCCTGCCCTGGGCACAGTGAGAAGGTGCCACCCTAACCAGGAAGGGGAGCTGTGTGACTCAGCATTCACACCTGCCACAAATACCAGAGATACAAACTTCAAAAGAAGATTTATTTTGACTCAGACTTCAGAGATTTCAGTCCATGGCTCCATGGTCTCTGGCTCTGTTGCTTCTGGGCCTGTGGCAAGGCAGCCATTGTGGCAGGAGGTGTTGCAGGGGGGATGCTCCTCTCTTGGTACCCAGGAAACAGAGGGAGAAAGACAGAGGAGCCAGGTCCCAGTGTCCCTCCGAGGGTGTGCCCCAGGGACCTAACTCTCCTGTCTCCTAAAGCTTCCCTGCTCCCACAGTGCCATGGCTGAAGACCAAGCCCATGACACCTGGGCCCTTGGGGACACAGAATCAAACCTGCAGGTGGCAGGATCGGGGACGTCCAGGCTCTAGAACTGTGAGGAGCAAACATCTGTTGTTTAAGCACCCAGGCCTTGGAAACTTGTACAGTCAAGGGACTAAGACATGGTACTATCTGTGGGGCAGGGACTTCCTAGTGCCCCACCTCCTCCTCTGTACACGGCTGCCCCTGGTACTGTGTGCCACTACGCACAGCTACTGGGCACAGCGGGAGACAGCCCACGCTCCAGCCAGCATGAAACCGCAGCCCACAGGGCTCAGCATCTTGTGGGTACTCACAAAGGCACACGCAGAGGAGTCCTTTACAGGCTGAATTGTGTTCCCGTAAACTTGTATGTCAAAATCTCTTGGCTCCTCGTACTCAGAGTATGATCTTATTTGGAAATGGGGTCATTATGGAGGTTAATAGTCAAGATAAGGCTACAATGGGGTATGATGAGGTCATGACAGGGAGAGATGATGTCATAATAGGGAACAATAAGGTCACAGCTGGGTGTGATGAGGTCATAATGGGAGTGAGGAGGTCATAACTGGGAGAGGTGATGTCACAATGGGGAATGGTGAGGTCATAATGGAGAGAGATGATGTCATACTGGGGCACATGACAGGTAAGTTGGGCAGCAGAGGCAAGGTAATAATAGAGTCTGAAGAGGTCATACTAGATTGTGATGAGGTCAAGATGGAGGAAGATGAGATCATAAAGGGATGAGGCGAGGCCATAATGGGGTAAGGTGAGGCCACACTGAGGTCGTAATGGGTGAGGTCAGAATGGGGCAGGATGAAGTCACAATGGAATACATGGGTTTGTAGCAGGGTAAGATGAGCGTGCACCCCCAATGCCACAGGGGACACTGAGGCTCGGCACCAGGAAACACCACGGGGGTGGGGGCCAAGGCATCATCCTCACACAGTGCACTAAGGGGTGTCTCCCAGAGAGTCGCTGAAGTCCTAACACATTTCCTTATTTGGAAACGGGGGCTCTGCAGAGGTGACCAGGCTGAGGTGAGGCCACAGTGACCCCATGAGATCGGTGCCCTCACACAAAGAGACACGAGACAGACACGCAGAGGAGACCCACGTGACGCCGGAAGCACAGCCTGCGTCCACCAGCTGACCGGAAGCAAGGATCTCGCTTCTCCTCCTGGACCAGAGAGGGCAAAGGTCTGTCGCCTCAGCCACCCAGTTTGCGGTGCTCTGTGGCACTTGTCGCAGGACACTGCCACACTGAGCCTCGTCTCTTCCCTGTAATCCCAGCACTTGGGAGGATGAGGCAGGAGGACCGCCTGGAGCTGGAGACCAGCCTAGGCTCCTGAGTTCAAAGTCTGCCTGAACTACATAGACAGACTCTGCCTCTAAACCAAAAAAGAAAAAAACAGGAAAGCTCACAGTCACTCCTGTCCCGGGTTCCGGCCACTTACCGGGCCACTGTTCGGCTGGGTGAGCTCCTCCTGCAGCCGCAGCCGGGACAGGCGGCAGCGCAGCTCGTCCTTGCCCTCGTGCTCCCCGCGCCGGGCCCTGGACTGCAGCGCGTGCTCAGCTG